TCAGCACTCCTACTCTGAGAAGCCTTATGAATACTGCCCCTGATCTAGGATCAAGTCGCCCCTGTCCATAGACTCTTATTCATTATGATCTAAAAGGCAAAACTGACCTTGGATCGGCAGCACTGCCACTCTGAGACGCCTTATGAATATGGGCCCTGGGTTTTGCTTTGAATGGACTCAATATTAGGCACACATTTTGCAATGTTCAGATATTCTGTAACCTGAACCGTGCCTTGTCTTGGAGTGAAATGTCATTGCTAAACTGGAGACAATCTAGACTGGAAACGTGCAGGTTTTCTATCCAATAAGCACCGCTGTGGTTTGGCGCTTTTCTGATGTGGTCAAGGTGGGAAATGTGTCAGTTAGGCATCAGTATCTCATAGCCTACAACATTCTAATCTTAACAGAGACTTGCAATAACTAAGTTTACCTACTTTTTTATTTAAAAAGCTATCCACACCTAGACAAAAGGTTAAACGAATAGGCAACAGCTGTCACAAATGTCAGATTAAATGTGTAGCGTACTAAATATTGAACATAACACTCAAATCATTAAAAAATATATATTTTAAGACTTTTACCTGTTTTTTCCCCTTTTTACGCGCACCTTCTTGCTTTTCACGAAGAAACCAAATGATGTATCACCACAGAAATGCGCCACGTTTGTCCCATATTAAAAACAAAATATATCTTTAAACTACTTTAAAGTGTTAAAAGACAACCAAAATGAATGTATTTGATACGTCTTCCATTCATATGTCAACCTTTGAGTTCGGTGAAAGCATTCAGTTCCAGATGTTGAATCCTAAAATCTCTCCACATCCTTTCCTGTTTCGATGCGAATCAACCTCAGTACTTCTTAAATACCGCTCCTCAAAACTTTATGTCAAATAATTTCAGTTCTGCTCCAATAGAACGACTAAACTAAATATCCAAGATACTTGACGGGGAAAATGAGCGACCCTCCTTTATGTCAAGTTTACCAGATTTGTCTCGTCAAGAGCGGCGCAGTGACGCTGTATCTCGGTCTAAAATCTTTGACTGATAAACCGAAAACACGAAGCGGAGCTGGAACATAGGCTAGACGTCAGTCTTCCGCTTTGAAAGAAGTTCACAAACAGGCCGTGTCTCCATCTCGATAAAGTAGCCTACGTAGGCTGCCTAGGAACCTTCAACCTAACTTTGCTCTGTTCCTGATTCAAGAGCAAGATTAGGCCTACAGAGATTTTAAATAAAATTGTGTCCCACCCCTCATTGTCTCGAACGGGGTCTGGCTGGAATGTGCTCTCTCAGAGCAGTTTTCCTGTTGCTGGCAAACCTCTTATTTTCTCCTCTGGTTTTCCCTCTTGTAGCCTGGCGTATATGAAGACTACAATTACAGGGCAGACGTGGCTTTGGGTCTCTCAGTGATGCGAGTTTAAGAGATAGACAGTAGTAAATATGTTATAAATACATAATTAGGCATCAAGAGACAACATTTTTACTCTTGAACTTTAATTATAACTTCATTATTAGACCTTAACATACACTGTGTGTGTGTGTGTACTGTTTTTTGTGTGATGCTCACTGTCTTTTATATCATTAACAAATCAATACTTTCTATCACTAACACTGTCTGTCTCATCTGACTATGAGCCCAAGCATGGACCGGCCATGGAGACTGGACTGGAGACAGTGTGACATCCTATTCCCTATGCAGTGCACTTTTGACCAGAGCCCATAGAGCTCTAGTCAAATGTAGTACACTACATAGGGAATAGGGTGCCATTTCGGACACAACCTCTCTGAGACAGCCGGTCCCAATTCACTCCCTACCCCTCCTCTTACCCCTTGGACCTAACCCTTCAGCGTTTGCAGATCTAACTGAGTAATGGATGATGACACACTAACTGTTAATGGTATTACAACTGGTATCCGGTCTCATTTGGCTCTTATGTTACAGCAACAAATACTATTTTTGTATTTGTTACTATATTAGGCACATATCCTCCTCAGAAGGACAGTCAGAGCTCTAGGGGGATATTGCACTATTTTAGCCAGCTTTGGTCATCATGAAATATCATTTGAAAGGAAGTTTGCAAGGCTTACAGTGGGTCTATATCCAGTAAATATAGTTATCTAGACCCAGTGGATCCATTTTTTCTATTACTGAACTGTTAATCTCCCACAATTATCCAAATATGACTGCCTCCTTTATGGGAATGCTAAATTATACTGAAGCGTGGGTGAGATCTTTTCTTCATTTGAGTAATGTGAATTCCTTGTTCTCATGGTCCCTAAATTATCCACTTGGCCTAGGTACAGCAGCTACATACACAGCTGGGAGGCCTCACATCAACAATCTCAGGGAAGAGAGCAAAATGTTCTTCTGCTTTTGATCAGCAGCAACATGTATTTTTCCTTCCCTACATTAATCTGTGAGCTGTTGAGATCCGGGTTGTTCTCAGCATTCCTTCAGAGCCAGGCAACACCATAGAAATAGAAGGATATGTAATTCTATTTCTATGGGCAGCACAGTGTGTCTCTGTTTTCTCCAGGCTTCACTGAAACTCTTTGTTTTGTTGTTGTGCAATAACCACACAGGACAGGATTCAATAGAATTGAGAGAAAGTCTGGGCAATCTGCTTTGACATTCAACAATCTTTGAAAGAAATGGTCTAGCAGACACATTTTAACAGATTAGAAATAATCATTTTAAAGGCTTAATCTAATTAGAAAAACAACAAAACTGCAGTCTACCCAGTTGGTTTGCTATAAAGATGTGGGATGAGAATAGGAGATTCCTTTCCAAGAAAGGTTCTGGAAATATATATAAACTTTCTGTGCACGGGGTAGGCCGTCATTGTAAATAAGAATTTGTTCTTAACTGACTTGCCTAGTTAAATAAAGGTTAAATAAATAATACAAATTAGGGAATAGGGTACCATTTCCAACACACCCTCATTATTTAGTCACAGGTTCTAATCTGGCCTCTCGCTGACTTCCAGAAGGCTCTTATTTTAATGTTGACTTTATATTGAGTTGTTCCCCAACTGCAAAATGGAACTGAAACTAAATAATCTAGAGATACTGTGAGAAAGTTTAACTGGGTTCACTGGGTAGGTTGATCTACTGACATGAAAGTTGATGAGGGATTTTTGGTAAATTGAGCAATTCTTGCTTTAGTTTTGATCTTATTCCTCCCCAAAACGTTTTGTCTGTTTGTTTAGTTTTCCTATTTTGTCTTGTTTGCTCTACAGACTGGTATTTCTGGTCTAGGGACAGTTCTTAGCATCTAAAAATACCCTAATTCATTATTCATTATATGTGTTCTCCTCCCAATGACACTGGTTGGAGGTACCTGGGCTTTTACCTCCACTGACCCCAAGTCAGATCTTAAACACTGTCTGTTATAAAGCTAAAAGTAGGGGTACCTAGGCCTTGACCCAAACTGACCCCAAGTCAGGGCTAAAACGCTGACTATTACGCAATGAGCTGCACAATGACTCAGGACATCAGCCCTGACCCCTCCCATCTGTTACATTGCATCCTTATGCAGGTACCTATGGTTACACCTGTAGCCTGACCCTATGGTTAGGTTGTATGGTTACACCCTGATCTGACTCTGACCATAATAGCACCAGTTAACGAGCTCACTGAGCTCAAAGTGGAAGAGGTTACTGTGGCATCATGGAACCACACTTATAAGCTTATAAGTACTGAAATGTATAGCTACCTACTGCATATAGGGGGAAGAAAGATCATCAGTCACATGGATGTGGTGTTTTTAAATGTTTTAATGTTTGGTTTAGTAATAGGATATTCATTAGGCCTGTTGTATCTATTCATATTGTAGGAGCCATTTCTGATGTATCAGTGGCTTTTGACAGGCAATATTCACTACCCATATGTCTCTTTCCAAATCTTTGATGAGGGTCATAGTAGAGTTATTGAAGAATAACCATCACATTAGGGCAGCTACAGACACAAGCTTATTCCTACTCCACACTTAACTCAGCGATATGACGTAGATGCAGAAAGTAAACAGCATAATGGGTCAATTTCCGCAACAACAAAGAGCGTTGAAGCACAATGCTCAACTTCTCCACTGTTTTGGTCCTGTGGCTACCACGCTGTAACAGCGTGAAGCGAACCCGTGTACATGCGCAGATACTGTGTGTGACTGTGTGAGAGCGAAGTCTTGCATCTCGCTCATCTCAATATCTGCGGTGCTGCTCGTGGCAACGTCATTTCGCTGAGTCTACCTTTAACAGTTGCACTGTATCTACAGTGCATCTGCTAACTTAGCTAAGACTTCTGAGTAAGTTTGTGCAACGTAATAATAAAGTCACTCAGTGTCATTCTGGCTTATCTAAGAACCTGAGCATCATCAAAACCGAGGTTATCCCTGATATAACTAGCTTGGTCCCAGATCTCTTTGTGCTGTCTTGCCAACTCCTATGGTCATTGTTATTCTAGGAGTTTGCAGGAGTTATTCATAATTTGAATAACTAATGGTAATGTCCCGCTTCTCTTTCAGTAAGTGCAAGCAGAAATTTGGCTCTGGTTCCTTCACAGTTTTGTGAAGAACGTGGAAGCCCTACTGATCTTTTTAACAACTGACTCTCCAAAAATAAAACAACAAAATAATTGAACATAGAAAAAGCATATTCCACTTGGAAGATACATTAATAATAAAGTCTAGGAATGTTCAGGCCATTTCACTAAGTCCTTACAGCATATCCCAATCGAGAGGAAAAAGAACAGTCCATCCATTAGTATAAGTCCGGCTCAGATGCTAGTTTCCACCCATGTTATTGGAGACACCACTGCAGGGCTGAAACTGGGCTTCCATGATGGCCCCAGAAAGGGGCCACCACAGGGGAGCTGTCCCCTCATCCCTCTTATATGACATCATCACAGATTGGAGTTAGTAAGAGATGGCAGCACAGAGGCCGTTCTATTCTCCCAGGGTTCTGTGCCCTCACTCTGTGGCAGTTTACAAACAGACAGTTGGCAGTTTAACTTGCTTTGACGGGCTCCTTGGCCTTGGCCGCCGCCTTGGCTACCTTCATTTTAGCTTTCTTAAGTGCCTTCTCTTGCGCTTCCTTCTCTTCCTCCAACTTCTCCTTTTCCTTTTTCTTCTCCTGCTTATCCGACTTGTACTTCCAGACTGGAGGCTCCAGGTGGCCCTTGTGCCTCTTTGTCTTCTTCGCCTTCTTGGGTGTTTTGTCCGCAGACTTAGTGAAGGTGATCGTGGGGATGCAGCTGGACGGGAAGACACTGTTGCGATTCGCCAAAGAATGGGGGAGGAAGTTCTGGACGCTGTTTGCAGTCGTTGAGAGAACACTATCCCTCCGCTCTGTGTCAGAGCAGCAGTTGGCGAGCGAGAGGGAGGACGACGACCGTGCCGGCGTGAAGGAACACTTCACACCGTTACTATGACACACAGAGCTCTCCTCCAGTTCCTTGCTGCTGTGCTTTTCCATCAGCTCTGGCACGGCCAGCCGCCGCTTCCCGACCTCGGGGGGGCTGGTGGGGCAGAGTGGCCGGCAGCCCATGGAGACTAGTGGACTGTGGATGGATGTTGTCATCCTGACCATGTGGTCCAACACCCCATTGTCCTGAGGGTCGTTGGGGAAGCTGAATGTCAAGCTGTCCTTCAGACGCTGGGTCAGGTTCTTGGGGGCCATGGCTTTAGAAGATAGAAGAAAATTACTTTATTGTCAATATAAGAATATAGGCCATTTAGCAGACACTTTGATCCAATTAGTACAGAGACACGGAAATGTGTATTTTTCCTTTATACCTACCCACCCAAGACACATACATAGCCTCCACACATGGGTCCACCGCAGTGCCCCTGAAGCAGTTTAGGGGTTAAGTGCCGTGCTCAAGGGCACAACAGCAGGCGATGTAGCCTATTTAGGATTGTGATGCCAGCATCCCTCCCTGCCATATTTTTCCCAGTTGGTGCGGGGATTTGAACCGCCAACCCTCTGGTTCTCATCTCTCAAACCTTTCGCCACCAGCTCCTTCAGCTCGGGCCACTCCATCACGTAGCTGTCGCAGAACTGTTCAGCGATGGGACACGCCTGGAGGCGGCGGAGACGCTGTAGGACCTCAAAACGACCTGTCTTCAGGGCCCAGTCTGTAATGCTTTTCCCTTTGACATCGTCCACTACGTTGATATCAGCACCTGGTAAGTGGTCAGGGAGAGAGAGGGCAGGGAAATGGAGAGAGAGAGAGAGAGAGAGAGAGAGAGAGAGAGAGGGAGGAGGGAAATGGAGAGAGAGAGAGAGAGAGAGAGAGTAGAGATCGGAGAGAGAGGGGAAGGAGGAGCGTAGATCGCTAGAGAGAGAGAGATCGCGCTTCTCGAGCTAGTCCCTAAGTGACTCTTTAGCTCCGAGGGAGAGCATCTCAGATCTCTTCTTTTTCGTTTGTTAGGGTGGACCCCTTCATCGAGATCAAAGCTCTCTCGTTTCTGGAAGAGAGAGAGAGGAGAACGCTCCTCTCTCTCTCTCTCTCTCTCTCGATAAAGCCTTCGACTGCCCACATAAAACCATGAGAGAAACTGGGCATGATCAGATTTTCAGAAGGTAATGTGTGAGGCATGTACTGTGCTAAGAATCCTGGGACTAAACACCTCCCTCTGCAACTGGATCCTGGACTTCCTGACGGGCCGCCCCCAGGTGGTAAGGGTAGGTAACAACACATCTGCCACACTGATCCTCAACACGGGGGCCCCTCAGGGGTGCGTGCTCAGTCCCCTCCTGTACTCCCTGTTTACCCATGACTGCATGGCCAGGCACGACTCCAACACCATCATTAAGTTTGCCGGCGACACAACAGTGGCAGGCCTGATCACCGACAACGATGAGACAGCCTATAGGGAGGAGGTCAGAGACCTGGCCGTGTGGTGCCTGGATAACAACCTCTCCCTCAATGTGACCAAGACAAAGGAGATGATTATGGACTACAGGACTGAGCACGCCCCCATTCTCATCGACGGGGCTGTAGTGGAACAGGTTGAGAGCTTCAAGTTCCTTGGTGTCCACATCACCAACAAACTATCATGGTCCAAACACACCAAGACAGTCGTGAAGAGGGCACGACAAAGCCTATTCCCCCTCAGGAGACTGAAAAAATGTGGCATGGGTCCTCAGATCCTCAATAAATTCTACAGCTGCACCATCGAGAGCATCCTGACTGGTTGCATCACCGCCTGGTATGGCAACTGCTTGGCCTCCAACCGTAAGGCACTACAGAGGGTAGTGCGTACGGCCCAGTACATCACTGGGGCCAAGCTTCCTGCCATCCAGGACCTCTATACCAGGCGGTGTCAGAGGAAGGCCCTCAAAATTGTCAAAGACTCCAGCCACCCTAGACATAGACTGTTCTCTCTGCTACCGCACGGCAAGCGGTACCGGAGTGCCAAGTCTAGGTCCAAAAGACTTCTCAACAGCTTCTACCCCCAAGCCATAAGACTCCTAAACAGCTAATCATGGCTACCTGGGCTATTTGCACTGCCCCCCCCCCCCCCCCCCCCCCCCCCCCCCCCCCCCCACCCCATCATTTTACGCTGCTGCTACTCTGTTAATTATTTATGCATAGTCACTTTAACTCTACCCACATGTACATATTACTTCAACTACCTCAACTAGCCGGTGCCCCCGCACATTGACTCTGCACCGGTACCCCCCTGTATATATAGCCTCCCTACTGTTATTTTATTTTACTTCTGCTCTTTTTTTCTCAACACTTTTTTGTTTTATTCTACTTTTTTTATTGAAAATAAATGCACTGTTGGTTAAGGGCTGTAGGTAAGCCTTTCACTGTAATGTCTGCACATGTTGTATTCGGCGCATGTGGCCAATAAAATTTGTTTTGATTTGATTTGATTTGATTTGAAAGTTCAAAGTCAGCATAATTGCCCCACCAAGTGGCCATTGAGGGAACACAGAGCGGTGCAGGGAGATACAGGGCGGGAGATAAAAACGACACTATGAAAACTTTCACCATTTGTTTGTCTTGACTAATAATGAGACAGTATGATGATGGCCTTGACTAAATTATCGAATCTACAGTTTGAGGCAGGAGAATCTAAGGTTTCCATTAGGGTTAACTGGTTAATTAGCTCTTAGATGTGTAATTGGAGTCATTATTGGATCAAGACTGACTCCCACTAGTGTCTATTTCAGAGGCTTGTCCTCAACCATTCATTGAGCTGAAGAGCAACACATTATAAGGCACGTAGATGAACACAAAAATACCCCCTACCCGCCACTGCTTATGAATGAGACTAGGTAATAGGGTGACATCATTTTGCCCTGTCTTGACTTAAGAACCAGTAACAGATGTTACTGAGTGGAATATTTCCAGAGCCGAGCCTATATCAGTCCTGGTAAATCCAGACAGGGCTAGCTAATCCAGCCTGTAACCTAAAATAGCTAGTCCCAGAATAGATAAGAAGATTGCAAAGGAAAACCACATCCTTAGATTTGCCCCTTAAACACAGCTAGGTGTGCGTCGCCATCTTCCTCCACCAAAATCTGTCATAATCATACCCTTGGTCTTTGTCTGAAATTGCACCCTATTCCCTATATAGTGCACTACTTCTGACCAGGCCCTTGCTTTTTCTTTTTTCACCCAGGGTCTTCATGATAACCATTGAAACATAACGAATAAAATAATAGTAATTATATTTCTATGATGATAAATTGACAACCCATTTCACCCTAGTACCTGTGCATTTACTGATTCGAGAATAAGAAAAAATATACGTTATCAAATTGCCAGTATGGAGAGTGAGGATTTATGCGACCTGGAAAAGGAAAACCCATGAAAATAGTCTTTAGAAGACTTTCCAACCCAACTCAAAGAACTCAAATTCTTGATTTTCCTGACTTTAGTCACTTACCGGCCATTATGAGGGAAGACACACAGTCCTCCCTGCCCTGTAGGGCTGCCTTAATGAGGGCAGTGAAGCCTCTGATGTCCCTCACCTCCAGGTCTACCTTAGGGTAGTAGTTCAGGATGAAGTTGAGGATGGATATGTAGCCTGGGTGGAGAGAGGGGCTGTTATTAGGAAGATTGTTGTTACAGAATAACTAAATAGAAAATAAACTCCAGAATACTAGGGATCTTGACGCTCCACAGATTTAATTGATCTTGTATATAGCTGAATGCACTGCGACAGTGGTAAAGCGATTTATTTTCCAGATACATCCCTGATTATAATACTATTGACCACAAAACCATAGGCCATGTTAAAGGTTGTAATGATATGATATGATCATGCTACCTTGCTCACCCAAGCTAGCCACCATAATATTGCAGTGCTTACCGGCCTGGGCAGCGATCATCACTGCTGTGCTGCCTTCGTTGTCCTGATGGTTGATATCTATCAGTGGACACGTGTGTAGACCATAGACGATGTCCACATAGCCTCTGGAGACAGCCAACATCAGGCCATTCTGACATGACAACAAAGCAGAAACACAGACATGGTCATTAACTAGGTGTGTGCTTTAATGCAGTGTTTCTCAAACTTGTTTGCACCAGCAACCGGCACGCTTTGCTCTTCCTCCCCGTGGTACCGCTTTACATTAAAACCAACACTTGAGTAACTGACTTAAGTAGTGTCAGCTAACCATCTCAGGGACTGGCCCACATTACATTTACATTTACATTTACGTCATTTAGCAGACGCTCTTATCCAGAGCGACTTACAGTTAGTGAATACATATATATATATATTTTTTTTATACTGGCCCCCCTCATGCCAGAGGCCCAAGGACCAAAGGTTGAGAAATTCTGCTCTAATGTACAATATCTGGGTCCGTATGGTTTTGATGATAGTGGTGGATAATGTGAGGAACACCAGAGAGAAGCATTACACATCCTTATGTTACTATTGATAGTGTGGGCTAGTAAGGTGTGTGTGTGTGTGTGTGTGTGTGTATGTGTGTGTGTTTCTGTTTGTTTGTGTATCCTTACCCTGCCGTTGATGTCCAGCTCCATTACTTCTTCCTTAGTAACCCCCCTCTCCAGAACCCTCTGTAGGGTTAGCGCCTCGTTCCTGTTACAGGCCTCATACAGTGTAGAGGTGGTGCCTCCTCCACCCCGCTCCATCTCATAGTCTGGCATGATAGAGTCCTCCGACACCAAGCTCGCCGTTTCTGACTCATTCTGAGAGAGTTCAGAGTCCTCGGGCGGGCTGGCGCCCAGGTGGGGGTCATCTAGTGCATGAGCCATTGCATTGACCTCCAGGAGCCCCAAGAGGAGGGGATCACGCCCAATCAAGAGGCCTCCTCGGCTCCAAGAAGGATGGGCTCAGACCCTGTGGAGGTAGAAAGGACCCTGCCTCGGCCCTGCTGATAATGACCGCATCCTGGAGGATCTCTGGAGGAGTAGACAGACAAACAATATGACTGTCTGGAGCACAGGAGGCTGCTGAGTGGAGAACGGCTCATAATAATGGCCGGAACGGAGCAAATGGATCCACCTATTCCGCTCTAGTCATTAACACCAGCCCGTTCTCCCCATTTAAGTTGCCACCAACCTCCTGTGGTCTGGAGGGGAACAGACATGCACACACACAAACACAATATGACTGTCACACTCGTACGCCACACAGAGACCTCTAATTCAATTACACATTGTGAAACGACTGGCTCACTCAATTATGTGATGAAGCACAAGTCCTGTTCGTACCCTGTTACGGTATGCATGTCTTCCCTTTCCCAAATATATCTATTTTTGATCAAAGAGTGTTTATCAACAGCTCATAGAGCATCTCTAAATCTTCTCTGATTCACAGAAATAAACCAGTTGGCATCTACAGGCATATATTGTATAAGAATAGCCATTAAACAATCCTTTAGAGGCTGTATATACCCTACATTTAGTGACCAATGTGACAGCAAAACATTTTATAATCATTAGCCTACATAGTTGGTTAACCCTGTCAAGTCCACATCTTTCAATCAATTTTGATCCATCAAATAGGTTTCTCCTGAACAACCTGCTAAGGTTCTCATTGACAGCATGGTCGTAACTCCTACATTTTCCATTGACAGCATGGTCTGAGTGTATGGATAGGTCTATTGATTGGTCCTAGTCCGTATGAGTGAGTGAGTGAGGTTCTAAAGTGGATGAGCCTCAGCTCACCCCAAACCTGAAGAGAGCCTTAATGCCTGATTCACCTGAATTGCGTTTGTTCAGATATTTTCTTTTTTTATATTGTTCTTTTCATCACGGTTCCATCAACTATGGGGGATATGTAACCAGGCCAGCCCAGTACAGCTCGACTAGGGTTGGCTCGCTTAGGTCCTATAGTGTGAATAAGGCTGAGGAGAACCTGAGGAGAACCTGAGGAGGACCTGAGTAGAACCTGAGGAGGACCTGAGGAGAACCTGAGGAGAACCTGAGGAGAACCTGAGGAGAACATGAGGAGGACCTAGCCCTGCCACACCAGGTGTGATTGACAGGAGGTGGTGTAATCTGAGCCATTACGCAGTCAGAAATTGTCGGCCCTCTTGTTCTTCAGCACTGTGCAACCTGAGGATAATGTTTGGTAACTGGCTCGAGGGCTAGACATCAGGACACCCTACTGGGAGACACGCTGAACGTGATGCTTGATCTGGTGTAGAGGCCACTACTGAGTGGACATAGATATCAGATCTTGTTCAGTTTAAATAAAGCTCCTTGGAAATGGGTAGTCCTTGGGTGTTTTAAGACCATAGCTGAGCACACATTTGCTATAAGTCTGTTCTGTAAGCTACTCTCTCTTTTCATTTCCCCTGAAAACCGGATGCATCCAGTTGTTCCTACCCCCCAGAGGGTGGCTTTTAACTATCTACAGTGGGGAGAACAAGTATTTGATACACTGCCGATTTTGCAGGTTTTCCTACTTACAAAGCATGTAGAGGTCTGTAATATTTATCATAGGTACACTTCAACTGTGAGAGACGGAATCTAAAACAAAAATCCAGAAAATCACATTGTATGATTTTTAAGTAATTAATTTGCATTTTATTGCATGACATAAGTATTTGATACATCAGAAAAGCAGAACTTAATATTTGGTACAGAAACCTTTGTTTGCAATTACAGAGATCATACGTTTCCTGTAGGTCTTGACCAGGTTTGCACACACTGCAGCAGGGATTTTGGCCCACTCCTCCATACAGACCTTCTCCAGATCCTTCAGGTTTCGGGGCTGTCACTGGGCAATACGGACTTTCAGCTCCCTCCAAAGATTTTCTATTGGGTTCAGGTCTGGAGACTGGCTAGGCCACTCCAGGACCTTGAGATGCTTCTTACGGAGCCACTCCTTAGTTGCCCTGGCTGTGTGTTTCGGGTCGTTGTCATGCTGGAAGACCCAGCCACGACCCATCTTCAATGCTCTTACTGAGGGAAGGAGGTTGTTGGCCAAGATCTCGCGATACATGGCCCCATCCATCCTCCCCTCAATACGGTGCAGTCGTCCTGTCCCCTTTGCAGAAAAGCATCCCCAAAGAATGATGTTTCCACCTCCATGCTTCACGATTAGGATGGTGTTCTTGGGGTTGTACTCATCCTTCTTCTTCCTCCAAACACGGCGAGTGGCGTTTAGACCAAAAAGCTCTATTTTTGTCTCATCAGACCACATGACCTTCTCCCATTCCTCCTCTGGATCATCCAGATGGTCATTGGCAAACTTCAGACGGGCCTGGACATGCGCTGGCTTGAGCAGGGGGACCTTGCGTGCGCTGCAGGATTTTAATCCATGACGGCGTAGTGTGTTACTAATGGTTTTCTTTGAGACTGTGGTCCCAGTTCTCTTCAGGTCATTGACCAGGTCCTGCCGTGTAGTTCTGGGCTGATCCCTCACCTTCCTCATGATCATTGATGCCCCACGAGGTGAGATCTCCCAGACCGAGGGTGATTGACCGTCATCTTGAACTTCTTCCATTTTCTAATAATTGCGCCAACAGTTGTTGCCTTCTCACCAATCTGCTTGCCTATTGTCCTGTAGCCCATCCCAGCCTTGTGCAGGTCTACAATTTTATCCCTGATGTCCTTACACAGCTCTCTGGTCTTGGCCATTGTGGAGAGGTTGGAGTCTGTTTGATTGAGTGTGTGGACAGGTGTCTTTTATACAGGTAACAAGTTCAAACAGGTGCAGTTAATACAGGTAATGAGTGGAGAACAGGAGGGCTTCTTAAAGAAAAACTAACAGGTCTGTGAGAGCCGGAATTCTTACTGGTTGGTAGGTGATCAAATACTTATGTCATGCAATAAAATGCAAATTAATTACTTAAAAATCATACAATGTGATTTTCTGGAGTTTTGTTTTAGATTCAGTCTCTCACAGTTGAAGTGTACCTATGATAAAAATTACAGACCTCTACATGCTTTGTAAGTAGGAAAACCTGCAAAATCGGCAGTGTATCAAATACTTGTTCTCCCCATTGTACATGGTCTTAGTCTACTCATTAGTCTAAAAGCTTCCTTTCAGTAGGATCTTGTAGAATCTAGTTAAAACATAGAAGGGAACACTCTACCTCTTCTAGTCCCACAAACCTTTGTTTTCATTCCTCTGCTGTTCTGTTGTTCCTCTCAGAAGAATGAAGATCAGTATCGCTACAAGTCAACCCCCCCCCCCCCCCCCCCCCCCCCCCTCTTTCTCTTTCTCTCTCTCCCTCTTTCCTCTGCCTGGGTTCACAAATGTGCTTCTTACTTTAACTTTCCCCAGCTTTGGACAATAATATCCCACTGGGCACAGTTCAACGTCTAGTTTTGATTTACATTTGGTTGAGTTGTCAACTAACATGAATTAATCGTGAAATAAACAAAACATTTCACCATGTCATTGGATTTAGGTTAAAAGTTGGGTAAAAAAATACGAAATATCCTTACATTGATGGCTTTTTGCAAATCCAATTAGTTTTCCACGTTCAACGTCATCACATAGACTTTTTGGGTTGAAATGATGTGGAAACAACGTTGATTCAACCAGTTTTTGCCCAGTGGGATGCTCCTACTGGTTCACATTACAACAACTTGTTCTCCAACAACTTCCCCTGAAAATCTGATTTAATCAAGTTCTCTGTTCTGTTGTTTCTCTGAACAACAAACTGTGGAAGGAGAAAATTGGTTATAAAGATGACAACAATCCACAACCAGTGTTGCCTCTGATAAACTCCCCAACAAACAGACTAGTGGGACCATGAACTTTGGCATAGTTACAAACGAATCCACATCCACGACACATCCAAGTCTCACCATAAAAAGTCTCTATCCAATAGGGTATTGTCCTCTTGTCCCTCTGTTTACTCCCTCTCTCTCTTCCTGGGTCAACACAGCATTATCATCCCCTCTTCTTCCTCTGTTCCTCTGTTCCTCTGGGCTCTTGGAGGAGTTTGTCTGTCTAAGTCCCAGTGACATCAGACCCGTGCTGCTCGAGCTCTAGCCTGCTCGAACCCCATCCTCCCTCCCTCCTCACACGGTGTGCCTCGCTCTGCTTGGCTTAGCCACTTAGCCTAGGCTGTCCGATGGATCACCACCACCATGCAATCCTCCTTCCAGGTCTTTACATAGACACTGAATGCTAAGTCAGGCAGCAGGCAGCCTGAAGCTGCTGGTCTAAATTTGTCAGGAGGCAGCATGCTCTCAGCTCTCATCCCGATTACAGGAGATTTACAGGAGGATTAGAAGGCAAGAAACAACAGCAGGAGGAGCAGCTCTCCTGACAAGGCTAGCTAGGAGCTGAGCAGGAGGGACTGCTCTCTCTCTCTCTTTCTCTCTCTCTTTCTCCCCCTTTCTTACCCTCATGTTCTTTATCTCTTGTCCTGGTCTGCTCTCTTTCTCTGTCTTTGAAAGTTATTCTCCATCTCTCTCGCCGTCTCTCCCCTTTCTCTCTCTCTTTCTCCCTCTCTCCTTCTCCCTCTTTCACTGCCATTCTCCATCTTTCTCCTTCTGTCAGAGCTAGCCTCTCTAATGGTCTAATCCATTCGAAGGAACAACAAACTAACCCTGCTGTTACTGCGAGCCAGGGGCCTAGTCAGTTAATTGTTCTCACAATAGCAAGGACACACATACGCACGCGTGCACACACACATACGCACGCACGCACATATAGAGGGAGGGAGGGGCACATGCCCACATTCACACACAACATAATTGTTCACATAAAGATGTCTGCTATAAAATGAGGTAACATGGACTATAGGTTACAATCACTTGAAATGATACACAGAAGATACTTAGAGCTGTGTTTTCAGTCCCAATAGTATGCAATGTGTCATCAGGGTGCACACCAGCTTAGCAGAGAGCTTACTGACTAAGAAAGTCTGCCCCCCACTGGCTATCTTCAGAAGCCCAATAGCGCGCCAATACAGTTCAAATCAAATCAAATCA